GACGGAGACGGTGGCGCTGTCGCCCACGCGGACCCCGACGGCGTCGGTGAGCAGCACGCTGTGGTGGAGCGACGTGGCGTGCCCGACGCTTGCCGTGACGACGACGGCGGCTGGTGGGAGCCTGACGCAGAACGACATCCGCGGCGGTGGGAGCGCCGTCCCGACGCTGCTGATGGTGGCGCTGCCGCCGCCGTTTCGGTGGGCACGTGACCCGCAGCTCGGCACGCACCTGAGCTTCGTGCCGGTGTCGACGGCGCAGCCGAGCGGCTTCGGTGGTCCGTGGGGAGCGATGCTGAGCAACGCGACGTGGGTGCGCAACGCGACGAATCCGTCCACCGTCCTGGAGCTGGCTGTGCCCGTGCACCGCGGTTACTTCATTGCTGCCGACGAGACGCTAGTCATTCGCTGCGACGCTGCGGCGGTGTTTGGCGGCTGCAAGGGTGTGCTGCTTGGGTCCTTCACGATCAGGTCTGACACGCTGCCCGCCGCTGCCAGCGCCCTCTCGGCAATCACCGGCTTTGTTGCGGGTGCGGCGGCTGTTGCCGTGGTGGTGACCGGCGGGCTGGGCTCCATCCTGGAGATGCAGGCACTCGGCGTGTTCGCGAGGATGTCATGTGCCTCGGCGCAGGAGCGTGCGAGCACCGTTGCGCTGCCGTACTTCCTGTCGGTGTTCGCTGCCCTTGACCCGCTGTGGATGGTGGTGGGCAACGCGCTGCTCGCCGCTGTGCTCGGGTGCGTGCACTGCGGTGTGACGGCTGCCTTCCAGCGGTGGCGCGGCGTGGACGCGGCGAGTGCGTGGGCTGCGATGCGCTTCCCGAGCCTGACGTACGTTGTGGCGCACGCGATGCACCTTGGCATCTTTTTTGGCTCCGTGCTTGCACTGGCGATGCCCGGCGCCCGCGTGCAGCACCGCGTGATTGGTGTCGTCGGCGTGCTGTACGGTGTGGCGTTCCCTGCTGGTGTGTGCTACTTTATTGCCCGCCACGTGGGCACGAGCTTCACGAGGTACTGGCAGTTTTCGAGGAAGCCGCTGCACGAGCGCCTGCTGTACCCCGTCGGGTATTGGCACCCCGCGGCGCAGCAGCGGATGTACGGCGGCATGCTGACGAACATGAGGGGCAGCCACGTGTACTGGTGCGTGTTCCAGCTGTCAGTGCTGTGTGTGGTGGGCCTAATTGCTGCTGTGCAACCGTCCGTGGGAAGCTGCCACGTCCAGTACTTCTGCATGGCGGCTGTGCTGCTTGCGGGTGCGGGCGTGTTTGCCTTCACGAACATGATGCGCTCGTCCTTCCTGACGGTGATGCACACTGCGAGCTTTGTGCTCCTTGCGGCGCTGGGCCTGGTCAGCGCGGCCAACCACCTTGCGCCGAGCGACGGCGGAGCGAGGGCGTACGCGGCTATCGTGCTGCTGCTGACCACTGTGCTGGTTGCGGTCACTGTGTACAATGTCGTTTTGTGGTACGCGGAGGACTGCCACTGGCAGGAGCTGCGTGAGCCGCGGCATGGAGGGCTGGAGGCGCTGCTGCGCGATGACGAGAAGAGCGACGAAGAGACACAGAAGCCCCACGAAATGACGTCATCGTCGTATGCCTCAGGCACCACCGTTGCGTCGTCGTACCGACCACCCGCACCGCTGCAGCCTATGACCGGTGACACCCGCTCAGACGCCCTGAGTCTGCTCGACCGTGCATCCAGTGCGAGCTGCGGCATTAATTTTGTTTCTCTGGAAAGATGGAGATGCTTTGCTTGACGAAAAATTTAGCGCAGTTACTTTTTTTTTGGGGTGGAAAGGCTCCACCACTCAACAGTACTGTTACGCGGCGAGAAGACGCAAAGCCCCTCGCAGATGCGGCATAACGTGGATGCGTCTGGCGGATATCTTCTCTTTCCATTATTCATAGATTGATTGGGCGATTGATTTGGTGTTCTTATTTTATTTTATGGATTTTCGATGACAGCGGATTATCGGGGTATCACGCCAGCCCGGGGCGGATGCGTAACGGGTGTGTGCGTGTGTTTTACGGCCTTCGCTGCAGCACCCAATATGGGGGCTGTTGCTCTCTCTATTTCATATCTGTACTCTGTAATGAGTACGTGCTTGACGATGGTGGTTGGTGTGCGGATCATAGGATGCATTCAGGAAAACGTTAGGGAAAACAATCGATGAAGCCCTTCTGTGACGCGTCACCTCCTGGAAGTTGTGAGTGCGCGTTGCTGGCTGACATGAGGGAGGGCGTGGGAGCCACGGCTGTGCAGCTGCGCAGCCACCAATCGGACTCCGCACCGACAGCGTCATTGATTGCTGGTTTTTTTCTAATTTTGTGCGGGTGCCTGCAGTGAAACTCTTACATGTTCCACGATGACTGTGTGGGAGGGCATGCCTGTCACTTTTTATACTTCGGATGTTGTATGGAAGAACGAAGAATTATGCGGATTGATGTATTACTTGCGTATATATCGATGCATTTCTGTGGGGTATTTCATTATTTTCTTTTCTCTTTTTTCTCTCCTTCTTTTTACGTTGCTCCACACGTGTCTTAGTGTTGCTTTAGTACGGCCGCACACGGGTAGTTTGAGCCGCGAATATTTTTTCCTTTTTGAAGTCATTTTGTGTTGGGCAATAACGTGGGCACGTTCGTCAAGCATCCACTCCCCACGGCATGGTGCCTGATATTTTGGAGTTATCCCAGATGTAACGCAGGCACCACCGCCGTGGCACTCATGGGAAGTAAGATGGAACGCGGGACAGAGAAAGATATTGTGTGGCACATGTGTCTGTTGCATTTGTTCTGTTGGGGAGGTCTTCAATTTAGAAAAAGAGGGATGAACATTGCACGATTCCGTGGCTTGGAGGAGTTATTGCCCTGCCCCTCTTTTTTTTAAATATTTTTGTATGATCTTTGTTTCCTACCCGTGTCTGTCCCGATTGCTTCCGCTGAGTGAAGCTGCGCCATGGCCATCCTTTTTGTTGTTTGTGGGAGGAAAAACACATTGCGAGCGACGAAACCACACGTCATGCATGCGGCGTCCAGGGAGGTACGTATTTGAGGTGGAGTGCACATATGTGGATGTCATGTGAGACGAAACGGGGGTTGACTGCCCAACCGTCACTCCTTTTCTGGAGAGTGTGCTCCTCTTTTTTGTTGCTGCCCTTTTGTGCCAGGGCACGGCGGGATTGGGGAGCACCGTCCCACGAAAGGCCTTGCACACGTACACACTCTCATGCCGCTGTCGTCTCCGAATTCGGTTGCAATCTCAAATTTCAGCAGCTTTCCGCATTGGCGTGGTTTTTAATGATTATTGACTGAAGCCATTCTGTTCGGAGTGCCACTTTGATTGGATTGTGTGGGATTGCTCGCCAACACCATTGGACAAAACAGGCTGAAGATTTTTCACGTATTTAAATGCCATCTTGAGCGCAGGTATTTTTTTTACATGCACTGTTGGTGTGCACTCAAACAGCGAGGAGTCCGGAACTATGCGTGCGTGGAATTTGTCCTGCCATGTGAACTGCGGGCAACACCGAGGGGCTGTCACTTTTGCTCCGCAGAGTTTTTGTGTCTCTTTGCAGGGTTGGCAGGGAAATTCCATGCAGCCAGCTACTACTGCTGTGTCCCCAAATGTTGTCACTCCATGCGAAGTAAAGTGCTTCAGCGAGTGAGGGGGATGATTGGGGTTGTGTGCACTCTGGTTCTGTTTGCCACTTTGTGCGGGCACGCAACACTTGAGTGGTGGGAAAATGGAGCGGGGCGATGCATGGCCGTGTCCCGCCTATCGTTCGGTGCACGATGGTGTGGTGCACATTGCGGTGTTTCCTCTGCGGTGTGACTGCGGTCTCCTGTGCTGCAATGGTGGTGGGTGGACGAGAGTGTTGGCCCGCGGCGGGACGATGGGATCGTGCCTCCTTTTCTCTTTGTTCCTTCCCCTTTGTGAAGGTGTGCACTTTTTTTTATTGCCAGTGATGGGGCAAACAGACCGACAACGTGAATAAAATACAAAAAAGGACGATAATGTGGCGGTGTTGTGGCCGATTGCACGTTGCGTTGCTGCGGAGGCGGTGGGCCTTGACTGTTTCACCGACAGGCGTTGCAGTGCGGCTGCATGGCGCACCGACAGCCCCGCCGTGCGAGTGCCACGCCCAACGCCATTGGGACTGTGAGACGGAACAGCTGCGAGTGTCCTTTGGAGCCAGCGGCACCTGCTGGCCGCAGTTGGGCGGTGCGAATGGGATGCTTCACTGCACTGGTGTTGTGATGGCGCCTTGCAGTAGCTCCAGTGATGGTTCCGACGCTGCAGCTCGCAGAGGAGTTGATGAAAGGCGGCGAACAAAGTGGACTCTTGACAGTTGGCGGCATAAATTACTGCTGGAGGGAAGCACTAGCAGGACCAACATGAAGCTGAATGATTTCCTTCGGAATTCTGTTGGCGGCAGGGTTCTGGACACCAATGAGAACGTCACGATGCAGGAGTTTTTTCAGGATCCCGAGACGTTTATCCAAAATAAAAGGTTATTACGCATAATAACGGCATTGCCGTCATACCAATTGCTGGAAAGAGAGCTTAATGAGAGGGAAATACTATTGGAGGCTATTAATAAGCTTCATCACGAGGGTGTGTTCTCGATTGAACAATGGAGGGACTATGAAGGAAAGGATACAATCACTCCTTTTCCAAAAGCAAAACTAAACGCAGTTCTCACGCAGGTACTGGCAGAAACGAGGCGGAAGGCAGAGGAAAGGCGAAGACGAACGCAAGAAATGAAATTTACCATTTCCACTAATACCGAAGATGTACTGTTTAAAGGAGAAGTCCGCTACAAGGAAATGAAGCTGAATGATTTTCTTACGATGGAATTGGACGGAGAGGGCATTGTGGCTACCAATCGGGATGTCGTGCTGGAGGAGTTTTGTAAGGAACCGGCGAGGTATATCCACGATGCGGGAGTACTGAACGAAATAACGACAACATATCGTTATTTGAGGATGGAGGAGACTGTAAAGGATGAAATGGATAAGGACGAAGATGTACGCAAGCTTCAATATAATCATGTAAGTACTCTGCTGGGTTGGCTAGTAGCTGCTCCGGAGGTAAAAGAAATTGTTCATGGCATCACTGAAAGTTTTTTGGATGCAGCCCTTGAGGAGGTGAGGAACTCAATGAGGATGAGTGCAGCGATGAAACTGGAGGGATTGTACGAGTCAGTGCACAATGCGAGGTGGAGCCATTTGGTGGAACTTCCTGGCGGCGAGGGGACGGGACTGGAAGTGAGGGAAAGGGAACCACCACAGTCATGGAGGCACAGGGCAGTTGGCAACACCTTCGAAAAGGATGACGGTGCAGAGCAATCCGGTGCAGCGCGTCCCAGACTGCTGGTGCTCACCTCGGACAGGGGATGGCCGTACACGTGGAATCGGAAGGGGGTGGAATCCACTCGTGACTGCTACGTGAACTGTGAGATGGAGCGAGCGTGGCAGATCGTCAAGGGCGATCTCACCGAGTGGTTCAGCCCTCACCCTGGGGCCTACTTTGAGCCCAAGCGGCGTGTGTTGGTTGGGACGCCCGGGATCGGAAAGTCGATGAATGCCGGCTCGTACCTCCTCTACCAGCTGCTGCACTATGATGTCAGGAAACTCCAAATGGTTGTTTACTTTATTGCGGATCGAAAATTCCTGTTTGACAAGACCAGCAGGACGGTGTCGACATACATGGGCGACTCCAGTAATGAGTCTTTTGTGGGGAGTCTGTCTGACCGTGGGATGAAGGGGTATATTATTTACGATGTGGCAGAGCCGGATGATGAACCGTCTAGTGATTTGCCTCCCAGGGGATGGGGCATGGTTTTGGTGTCACCCCCATTCGAGGGGAACTACAAAGAATGGGTGAAGCGGAGCGGTGCCACAAAAATAGTTATGAATTGCCCTGGTGAAAGCGATGTGAAGGCGATGTGTGTTTGGATGAGGCGCCATCAGCCCGTGCGGGAGCA